ATCACACAGGCTATGTTGACTCCTGAAGGGAGCTGGCATTTATTCTCAGAGTGATAGGAAATTATGGGGTGGTTTTAAGCAGTGGCTGCTGATTTGTTTTTGTCGTTGCTGTTTTGTTCTGTTTTCCGGACACACCACGCAGCGTGTGGAATCCTAGATCCCTGACCAGGAATTGAACCCAGCCCCCCCTGCAGTGGAAGTGCAGAGTTCTAACCACTGGACCACTAGGGAATCCCCTAGCGATTTAAGTTGTTTTTTAAGAAAGACTGGCTGCTGAAAGTGAAATGTGTGTGCTGGGGTGGGTTGGGGGTGGGTGCATGACAATGCAGAGTGGAAACGCAGAGACCACTTACTTAGAAGGCTACAGTTTTTGTCTCTGGGAGAGATGGTGGTGGCCCAGGCTAGGAGACAGTGGCCATTCAGGAAGAAGAGGTCAGATTAGGGAGGGGTTTGGGAGGTGAAGCCATGGGGGACTCGGACAGATTGGACATGTGTGTGAAAGAGCAAGAGGGCGCAAAGGCTCCTAGGTTTCGGGCAGCTGGTTGAATGAAGGAATCATTTTTAAGATGGATGAAGATGAGGTTTGGGAAAAGTGCACTGATCATTCTGTTTGGGGCACGTTAAGGTTGAGATGCTTGTTAGATATGCAGGAGGAGCAGTCACGTGGTCACCAGGGCTGAAGGGAGAGGCCAGGATTGGAGATTAGAACAGTCAGGAGTCCAGTGTCCAAACAGCACTGTTTACATTAGCCAAGACATGGAAGCAACCTGAATGTCCATTGACAGAGGACTGGATAAAGACAATGTGATACACACACACACACACACACACACACACACACACACAAACGGCAACCCACTCTAGTATTCTTGCCTGAAGAATTTCATGGACAGAGGGGCCCGACAGGCTACAGTCCATGGGGTTGTGGGAGTCTGACACAACTTAGCAACTAAACCACGGCACTGAGTAGTAGGGAATACTACTCAGCCATAAAAAAGAATGAAATAACGCTATTTGCAGCAATATGGATGGACTTAGAGATTATCATACTAAGTGAAGTAAAGCCTTTGTTGTGATTCACTCACTCAGTCATGTCTGACTCTCTTTCGATCCGATGGGCTATAGCCCCCAGGCTTCTCTGTCCTTGGGATTTTCTGGGCAAGAATACTGGAGTGGCTTACCATTTCCTCCTCCAAGGGATCTTCCCAACCCAGGGACCAAACCCATGTCTCCACGTCTCCTGTAGTGCAGGCGGATTCTTTATTGCTGAGTCACTGTGGAAGCCCGAAGTAGAAGTCAAGAGAAAGACAAATACACGGTATCACTTACGTGGACTCTAAAAAGTGATACAAATGCACTCATTCACCAAACAGAAACAGACTCATGAACGCAGCAGACAAACTTGTGGCTATCAAAGGGGAAAGGGAGTGGGAAAGTATGAATTAGGAGTTTTTGATGAACAGGTACACACTACTATATATAAAACAGATAAACAACAAGGATCTACTGTATGGCACAGAGAACTATATTTAATATCTTACAATAAAACACAACGCAAAAGAATCTGGAAAAATATATATATATGTGACTGAATCACTTTGCTGTACACCCGAAACTAATGCAATATTGTAAATCAACTAAACTCCAGTAAAATGAATAGTTGGGAGTCACCAACGCAAGGATGAAATTTAGGACCTTGGGCCTGAGTGGGGCCACCTGGAGAGAGAGCACAGGAAAGCAGGAGGCTCGGGACCCACCCAGCCAGGCAAGGAGCAGCGGGGAGCCTGGGCTGCTGTGAGAACAGGAAGCAGGGAGATAACCTGCCTGAGGACTGAGAACTTCCCAGTGTGTCTGCTCACCTGCTGGACCCTAAAACTGGTTGTCCAAACTATGGTACCCTTGAGAGTGAGAGGAGGGCCCTAAGAGTGACAGACCAGGACAAGAATCCATCGGAATCATCCAGACAACAAGGATGATTGTTATCATCCCAGTTACTGGCACCCTTGGCAGGGTGGCTTCATGTAGAGGAGAGGAGGGAGGTGCAGCCTCCCAGAGTTTGTTGTTTGTTGTTTGTTGAGTTTGTTGTGAAGGTGGATGGACAGATTGTGGGGCACCCCAGAATGGACTGCCCCTCAGCAATAAGAAGGCATAAAACTCTTCATGTCGGCAACATGGATGAATCTCGGAGATATTATGCTGGGGGAAAGAAGCCAGGCCCCCAGGCCCCATAGAGTTCATAGTGCTGACTCCTTTTGTATAAATAGTCTAGAAAATGCAAACTAATCTCTAGTGACGGAAGGCTGGTGGGTGGTTGCTTAGGGGTGGGGTGGGAGGGATTACAAAGGGGTATGAGAAAGCCTTTGCGTAATGATCATGGGTGTATATGTGTTAAAACTTAACAAGTTTTGTATTTGTTGTTCAGTTGCTCAGTTGTGTCTGACTCTTTGCAACCCCGTGGACTGCAGCACTCCAGGCTTCCCTGTCCTTCACTATCTCCTGGATCTTGCCCAGACTCGTGTCCATTGAGTCAATGAAGCCATCCAGACATCTCATCCTCTGTTGCCCCCTTCTCCTCCTGCCCTCCGTCTTTCCTGGCATCAGGGTCTTTTCCAGTGAGTCAGCTCTTCACATCAGGTGGCCATAGTATTGGAGCTTCAGCTTCAGCATCAGTCCTTCCAATGAATATTCAGGGTTGGTTTCCTTTAGGATTGACTGGTTTGATCTCCTTGCTATCTAAGTTGTATGCTTTACTATTTCTTTTTAATTGAAGTACAGTTGATTTACAGTGTTGTTTTAGTTTCAGGTGTAAAGCACAGTGGTTCAGATATATATATATATATATATATATATATATATATATATATATATAAAAGATTATATATGTTCATACCCTTTTTCAGATTCTTTTCACTTACAGGCTATTACAAAATATTGAATGTGGTCCTCTGTGCTTTAAGTGAATCCTTGTTGGTTATCTATTTTATATATAGTTGTGTGTGTTTGCTAGTCTCAAGCTCCTAACTTATCCTTCCTTCGTTCCTTTCCCATTTGGTAAATGTAAGTTTGTTTTCTGTGTCTGTGGGTCTGTTTCTGTTTTGCAAATAAGTTCGTATGTGTCTTTTTTTTAGATTCCACGTGTAAGTGATATCATATGATATTTGTCTTTCTCTGTCTTACTTCACTTAGTATAATATTCTCTAGGTTCATCCATGTTGCTGCAAATGGCATGACTTCATTCTTTTTTATGACTAATATTCCATTATATATATATACTTCTAGCACATCTTCCTTATCCATTAAATTGTACACTTTAAATATGTCCAGTTTACTATATGAGGTAGGTATTACATTCCTCAAGAAAGCTGTTTATTAAAACTGTTTTTGTGTAAAAAAGAATGACCCAATAGGGCAGTAGTAGAAGGTGTGATTCGATTTTAAGTGTGAAGCGTTGTTGCCCGATGCGGGGCACACGTGCTGGGAGGCAGGAAGAGAGAAGGCCAGGCAGGGACCCACTTGTGAAAGTCACTTTGTGTCATGCTGAAAGTGAAAGTCGCTCAGTCGTGTCCGACTCTTTGCGACCCCCTGGACTATATAGTCCATGGAATTCCCCAGGCCAGAATACTGAAGTGGGTAGCCTTTCCCTTCTCCAGGGGATCTTCCCAACCCAGGACTCCCGCACTGCAGGCAGATTCTTGACCAAGGGTTCAGAGTTCATCTCACCTGCCTGGCATCCTTCAGCTTCCATGTGCAAAGAAACCATCCAGACTATCCGTCACAAGTGATGTGCCCACGCTGCATCCTCTGGGCTCCCCTCTGATTGTGGCCACAGTGAGTTGAGACAGTTCCTGGGCGTGCCAGCTGGGCACCACCCCCAGTGCCTCCAGGCTCTCAGCCTTGCTGCTTGGGTGGAGGGCTCAGCCTGTGGACGTGGCGGGGCTTCAGTGCCCCCTGGGGCAGCTGTCAGCTGCAGGGAAGGGGATCAGTGGATAAACGTCCAACCCCCCACCTTTGGAGGGACATTTCTGAGATTCTTTCTGCAGGTCCCTCACAGTGTCCTAGCTGGAGGGGTTCCCAGTTGCCCACAGCAGTGACCAGCCCGAAAAGCTTTTTGCATTATCACCTGCCCTACCTGACTCTCCCTCAAAGAAGCACCTGTCCATAAGCTACCTGCACTCAAATCCTTGTCTCAGGCTCTGCTTTCAGAGCCCCCACAATATGGCCCCCCTGGGGCCTAGGACATCTGCATTTTATGCGCCTGCCCAGCTTTTCTGACGCAGGAGGGCCAGGACCCATGCTTTAAGGAACTATAAGCGGTGAAAACACATGAAGGATTTCACAAAGGGACGTGATGGGGCCAGATCCGCTCTTGTAGAAAATTAACTCTGGTGGCAATGTAAAGCTGAGGATGAAGGAGCAAGAGACAGGAAGCAGGCAGACCAATTAGCAGGCTGTTACCCGTGTCCCAGCAGGGGTAATAATGACGAAGATGGCGACAGAGGCGCCTCTTTGTGAAAGGCCTTTGATTTATAGCGTACGGAACCCTTTGCGCCAAAATGAGACAGAGCCTGATTTAACAGCCCCAGTGCTGTGGTCTCAGAAAGCTCACATTTTTAGCACCCCACATTTCTCTTTTTCATCTGCTACTTTTTTGGGGGGGAGGGCTGCTCTGGGTTTTCACTGATGCACAGTGGACTTTCTCTAGTTGTGGCAAGAGGGGGTGACTCTCTAGTTGTGGTACATGGGCTTCTCATTGCAGTGGCTTCCCTTGATGCAGAGCACAGGCTCTAGGCAGGCAGGCTTCAGTCGTTGTCCACACGGGCTTAGTTGTCCCACCATATGTGGAATCTTCCCAGATCGGGGATCAAACCCATGACCCCGGCCCTGGCAGGCAGCTTCTTAAACAGTGGACCACCAAGCAAGTCCCTCATCGGCTGCTTTCAAAACTTGATACATCGGTGCAATGCCGCACACCTTCATTTTGTGAAATTTTGTGTTTTTAGGACTTTGACATCGGGGCTAAGAACGTGAAGCTTTATGTCAACAAAAAACTCATCTTTGATGGCAAGTTAGACAAAGGGGGTGGCGAGGCCCCGCACAGCATCCTGGTGGGGCTGCAAGATGAGAGGATGGAAAAGAGCGATGCTGCCCTCTCAGAAGAAAGCAGAGGTATCTGCAAGACGCCCGGCACCGAGGAGGACGAGGAGCTCCGCACCAGTCACTCGCAGCCAGCTGGAGCAGCAGAGGATGCGAAGGTTTCTTCACAAGGACATTTATTTGGTGGAAGGATGAGTTCTCCCGACGGTGTGAAAGACAGTTTGTCCCGGTCAGAGGAGGAGCTCAGCGTTTCAGCCGCCCCGTCCTCGGCGGGTGGCGAGCCCAGTGGTCCTCCCCACTCGCCCCCTGTGGGGTGCCCTCCTCCTCCTGACCAGGAGCTCTCGCTGCTCCGACAGCTGGGAAACCTCACAGGCAGAAAAGTCTCTGAGCCGCCAGGGAAGACCCCATCCTGGTTACAACCTTCTCCGGCGGGGAAAGGCAGGAAGCCGGGAGGCCCGAAGTTGAAACCCCTCTGGCTGAGTCCAGAGAAGCCGCTGGACGGGAGAGACGGGCTTCCATCAGACGACGTCATGGGTGAGGGGCCTGGAGTGTCCGAGGCCAGGGATAAAGGCCCCCGACGTGAGCAAGGGCGAGTGAGCAGCTGGAATGTCATCACCGCTGAGAGAGCTCAGAGGACGACCCCCAAAGTCCACGGTGATGACTTTGACATCTTTAACCAGCCCCCCCACAGGGAGCAGCCTGCTAGTGGGAGGAGGGGACTGAGGAGGGACGGCCTCAGCCTCAGTCATGGTGACGGCCAGCCAGCCAGCGGAGGTAAGTTCCAGAATCCATCTGACTCACTGGGTCTATCTCAGTGGAGCCAGGGCTGCTAACTAGCATGAAACTGTATTGCTCCCTGGACCTCAGTTTCCCCACCTGCAAAACAAGAAGGTTCTTCTCAACCAAGGGTCCCAGATTCCCTGTCTCAGGGGCCACAAGGGTAGTAGCAGTGAGCGAAGTGGGCAAGGCACACTTTGCCTGTGAAACCCACAGGCATATTTGTCACTGGCTCCAAGATACGTTCCTTTGTCCATTTTTCTTGCTGACCATGGCTTTTCCAATCTAGTCTGTTATCTAACCTCTGATAGAGACTTTTGGTCTCTAATTACTTCACTTTATTCTTAACTGTGCTGTTAGGAAAATAATGCAAGTGTGATGATAAGTAGCAACTGATTCTTGCCTGGGAATTGGAAGTACTATAGGGAATGGTGAGGACTGTGGCAAACTGGAGAGCACAGACCCATCTAAAAGGGGCTTTTTGGCATTCAGAAATACAAGCCCAGGGCTTCCTTGGTGGTCCAGTGGTTGAGAATCTGCCTTGCCATGCAAGGGACATGGGTTGGATTCCTAGTCAGGGGACTAAGATCCCACATGACACAGAGCAAGTAAGCCCATGCACTGCAACAAAAGATCCCACATAATGCAACTACGACTGAAGGCAGCTAAATAAATAAATATTAAAAAAAAAAAAAAGAATACAAGGCCCTTGGGCCAGATCTCCCTTTTCCTTTTATCAAGAGAAATAAAAATTGTAGAATATTCTTATTTTTCAACATTGGCCACTGATGGAGATTATTTTTAAACTACTGTGTGGGTCAAAAAAAAAATGCACATCTGCTAGCAGGATTCACCTGCTTTGTGAACTTTGCAGTAGATTATCTCTAAGAGATCTGAAAGGAGATGCCAGTGTCTGGGTTTCTGAATATTTGCACTCAGATTTGGCTACCAGGACAGAATGTAGCAGAACAACATGAGTCAAACCACTTGAATTCAGACTCTGCTACTTGTAGACCTGAGACTTCTAGCCTGGGTCCTGGAGAGCTGGACACTTTCACTTTCTGAGCCTCAGCATCTTCATCTGTGAAATGGGGATGAACTCCCACAACTGCCCCCTCCCCAAAGTGTTGTAAGAAATGAATGAGATGATGGCTTCAAAATAGTGACCAGAGCCTGGCATGTGGAATGTGCTCCAGAAGTGGGCGCCATTATTTCAACACTAGCTTCTACGTCTTTTATTGTCCACAAAGCTCCTGGGCCTACCAAGGCAGGGCTCACCTCGAAATCCTCTGGGTTTATCCCCACTCTGTACCACACAGAAGCACAAGCCCTGAAAATCAAACGTTTATCCTGATTCCCCACTGCCAACCCAAACTGTGGGCAAGTTCTGAAATCCCTCGGAGCCTCCATTTCCTCATTTGGAAGGAGGCAGATAATGCCCAACTCATGGTGGGCTACAAGCTGGGAGGATCAAATGAGATCATACACGGGCAGCATTTGGCACTGAGTCTGGCACATAAGAACACCCAACAGATGTTTGCTGCTGCTGTTTATTATTGTTGTTGTCAGCAGCAGCAGCAGCATCCCCACTCTGTGATGCAGCAGCAGCATCATGGGATGATGGTATAACTATATGCAAAGCCCATGTATATATTTTTAGTGAATTACATTAGCACCTGCACTATTCTTGTCTAGTGGACAGACTCCAAAGGTCTGCCTTTTGCCAGAGTTACACTTAGAAATGTGGAGAGTTTGTGGTCTCTCTCAGACCCTCGATGTCACTTAGGGCAGAGCAGTTCCCGCAGACTCTTGAGTCCCTTTCCATGGTGAGAGATGGCTCCCTTCTCCCAGGCAGAGCTTCTGTTTCTGACTCCCCAGCCTTACAGATTGTGCTGCCCACCCCACCAAGACTTAACCCTGAGACTGTGTATCAGGGAGGAGCGCAGAGTGGAAGAAAAGGACCAAGAAGCTCTTTGGGGACAGGGGCTGCGTCTTATTTGTGTTGGGATCGCCAGGACCTCGGGCTTCCTAGGTAGCACTAATGGTAAAGAACCCACCTGCCAAGGCAGAAGGCATAATGAGATACGGGTTCAATCCCTGGGTCGAGAAGATGCCCTGGAGGAGGGCATGGCAATCCACTCTGGTATTCTTGCCTGGAGAATCGCATGGACAGAGGAGCTTGGTGGGCTGTACTCCAAGGTATCACAAAGAGTTGGACACAACTGAAACAACTTAGCACACACACACCCCAGGACCCAGGTGCCTGACTCATGGTGGGTCTCCTGCAGTGTGTGGGAAGAATTGCAATGGCTAGATGCATGGCATGTTTGCAGTAAACCAGGCTGTCATCTGGGCATGTTACTCAAACGGGCTCATTTAATTCTCCTACCAGCCCCATTTTAGAGATAAAGAAAATGTGGGGATTTCCCTGATGGTCTAGTGGTTAAGAATCCACTCGCCAATGCAGAGGACATGGGTTCGATCCCTGCTCTGGGAAGATTCTACGTGTCGCAGGGCAACTAAGCCTGTGCGCCAAAACTACTAGAGCCTGCGAGTCGCAACAAGAGAAGTCGCTGCAATGGGCAGCCTGTGCACTGCAATCAGAGAGTATCCCTCATTCGCCGTTAACTAGAGAAAGCCCATGCACAGCAGTGAAGACGCAGTGCAGCCAAAAATAAATTGATGAATTAAAAAAAGAAAATGTGAGGTAAGAAAGCAGGATAAGATGGAAGGTTCAAAATGGTGGCATAAGAAGATCCCACTCACTTCCTCCCACGGACGCAACGAAACTACAATTGCATGTGAAATATTTCCCCCTGAAAAGGACCTGAAGCTGGATGAACAAAGTCTCCACAGGAGAGGGTAAAAGGACAGCATCAAGGTGGGTAAGGGAGGCAGAGAGGTGATCTCATTAAGGGAAAAAACCACACCCCAACCATGACAGTCTGCAGATGGGAGGATTACACGGACACCGTTACTTTCTCTGGGGATTAAGCAATTTGAGCATTAGGCACCCCAAGTCTTGGATCCTGCACATGAGAGATGAGCCCCCAAAGCATCTGGCTTTGAAAACCAATGAAGAATACACCCCAAACTGTAGAACTGCAGAGAATGGAAAGCTAGCTTTTAAATGGCTCACTCACAGATTCACTCAACCTGAAAACCAGCCCCAAAACTCTGGGTTAAAAAGTGCATGGACCATAGGTGAATGAGACCCAAGTACTAATCTCAAAGCATCTGCTGGAACCATTTTGGACGCTCCCTGGGAACTGAGAAACCGGAGGGAGCCAATTTGCTGATCCCAGTGCCTGTGGGTGTCATTTTGGAATTCTCCCTCTGGTCTGACCACCAGCTGGCACACCCCACTTAGAACCCTACCCACCCCTGCACCTCAGCCAGGCCTCACAGCTGACTAGGTGGTAAACCCTGCCCACTAGAGCCCAGCAGCCATCAGGTCAGCATTGCTGTCTTTCCAGGGGTTAGCCCTGCCCCCAGTGCATAGCAGCACCCATGACCCCACCACAGCAAGAGCGTGCCTGCAACCCATACGGGGACACGCCTTGAGCACCTGGCTCTGGTTGCCAGGCAGAATTGCATTTCTGAGCCCTGCAGGATATCTCTTATGTAAGACCAAGAGAGCTGATTTACCTAACATATAGAAACAAACACTGAGAATTAGGCAAAATGAGGAAACAGGAATATATTCCTATCGAAAGAACAAGACAAAACTACCAAAAAAGAACTAAACAAAACAAAGATAATAATCTACCTGGTAAAAAGTTCAAAATAATGGTCAGACGATGCTCATAGAAATTGGAAGAAGAATAGACAAACCCAGTGAGAACTTCAACAAAGAGGTAGAAAATGTAAGAAATTATCAAACAGAAAGTATAACTGAACCGAGAAATACACTTGAGGGGTTCAATAGCATATTGAATGAGATAGAAGAACAAATCAGCAGGCTGGAAGACAAAGCAATAGAAATCACCCAGGGACAGAGCAGCATAAGAAAAAAAGAATGTTAAAAAATAAAGATATTTTAAGGGCGCTTTGGAACATCAAGAAGAATAACATTCATATTATAGGCTCCCAGAGAAAGAGAAAGGGCATGAAAAATTATTTGCAGGAAAAGTGGCTGGAAGCTTCCCTGGGGAAGGAAACAGACATCCAGATCCAGGAAGCCCAGAGAACTCTGAATAAGATGAACCCAAACAGACACATACCAGCCTGTGCCCCGCAACTGCTGAGCCTGCACTCTAGTGCCCTTGAGCCACAACTACTGAGCCCATGTTCCCTAAAGCCTATGCTTGGCAACAGGAAGCTGCTGCAAGAGAAGTCCATACACTGCAGCTGGAGAAAACCTGTGCACAGCAGCATAAATACATAGAATTTTTAAAAAGAAAGAAAGATGACATACCAAAATCTGTGCGATATAGCAAAAGTGGTTCCAGGAGGGAAGTTCATGGCACTACAAGTTTGCCTCAAGAAATAAGAAAAATCCCCAATAAACAACCTAATGTTGCACCTAAAGGAACTAGAAAAAGAAGAACAAATGAAGCCCAAAATTAGTAGATGAAGGAAATAATAAATACCAGAGCAGAAATAAATGAAGTAGAGACTAAATAAAATAAATAAAATAGAAAATAGAAAAATAAATAGAAATAGAAATAAATAGAAATAGAAAAATAAAATAGAAAAAAAAATTAGTGAAAGTAAGAGCTGATTCTTTGAAAAGACAAATGAAGTTGGGAAACCTTTAGCTAGACTAACCAAGAAAAAAAAAGAGAAAGAGCTCAAATAAATAAAATCAGAAATAAAAGAGAAGTTACAACTAATACCACAGAGATACAAAAGATCATAAGAGACTGCTGTGAACAATTGTGCACATAAATTGGACAACCTAGAAGAAATGAACAAATTACTAGAAACAAACAATCTCCTAAGACTGAATCATGAAGAAATAGAAGAGTTAAATAGATCAATTACTAGTAAGGAGA